TGACCTCGTAGCTCCTCTAGTTTTGATATTATGTACAAGTATAAGGCAGACTTATCTGGATACATTTTAGAAATTTGACACATTTTTGTTCTTCTAAATTGCAATTTAGAAAGAGTTATGATTTAAACAATTTAGATTTCAATCTAACTTTAAACTTGCAATTTAATTTATAGTTTCACGTGGCATCTTTGTATAAAGATAAACGTATATCAATGAGAATCATGAATTCGACGTTTTTACAGTTGTCAGCGTTTATATAAATACAATGAAGACGACTATTCCAATTGCATTTTATTTCTAACCAACGTTTTTCAAATTAAAATTTACAAGTAAAGAAAGAGAAGCTGTTAATTGACAGCGTGTCTATGTTTCCATGTTCAAGAGTTTATCCATGCTGGTTAAACGCTTGGTAGAAATAAAATGGGAAAGGGATGTCGTCTTCATTGTATTGTTACATACAACGATGACCATGTTTCTTGAATAAAGATATCGGCGAAAGTTCCCTTTAAACTTTTTATCTTTAATTTACAGATCAAAGAATTAAGATTTGACAGTTGGTGAATAGTTTAAAATGTCTTCTTCCATAATATGTCAAGTTGTTTGTTACCAAAGAGAATAATAATAAATATTTTATGGCATCCATATTATAGTAAAATTGATTTCTAAGTAAACTATATTTAAGTAAAGTTTTTTAAACTAAATAAACTGCAAAAAGTCTTTTATATCTAATACAGTATATGGAAGAAGACATTCCAAACTATTCACCAACTGTCATGTTTCTTGGGAAATATTCTGTTTGTGAGTACAATTTATGTTTAATGAAGCAGTGTGTTTAATTAGTTGAAATATTCTTTTTCTGCAGTGTTTCATTTTACAATAATGCAGTGAAAAAATTCAAATATTGGAGTAAACACGACGACATTTAAAACGACGGTTTGCACGCAAATATACAGGGTTACCCACAAAATTTGCAAAGAAATGTATTAAATCTTCTAAACATCGTCATCTCTTCCCTGCTGCAGTTCACCCATATGAACATCAACTACGCCACCAGGAGCAGTATCGTGTTAATCATGTCAGGACAGAAAAATATAGAAAATTTGCGTTCCACATATCCAGAGACTGCAGAACCGATAATCTTTTTGTTTCATAATTAACTGTGAATAGTAATTACTATTTGATTTTATCGCAATAAATCATTATTTATTTATTTATTTAAAAAACTTACATCAACTTACTTCAACCTTCTCCACCTACTCCCACCTACTCCCACCTACTCCCACATACTCCTATACCTTCTCCCAACTACTCCACCTACTCCCACGCACTCCCACCTGTTTCCACCTCCTTCCTCCTACTCCAACCTACTCACACATACTCCTACCTAATCCCACCTACTTCAAACTAATCTCACCTAATTCACCTACTCCACCTATTCCTACCTACTCCCCCTACTCCCACCTACTCCCACCTACTCCCACCTACTCCCACCTATCCCACCTATTCCCACCTATTCCCACCTACTCCCACCTACTCCTTCTTACTCATACCTACTCCCACCATCACCCACCTACTCCCAACTACTCCAACCTACTCCACCTACTCACACCTACTCTCTCCTACTCCAACCTACTCCCACTTACTCCAACTTACTCCCACCTACTCCATCCTACTCCACCTGCTCGAACCTACTCCAACTTACTCCAACCTACGCCACATACTCCAACCTACTGCCAACTACACCTACTCCCACCTACTCCAGTCTACACACAAAAACTCCAACCTACTCTTACCTACTCCCACCTACTCCCAACAACTCCAACAAACTCCACCTACTTCCATCTACTCCAACCTACTCCCAGCTACTCCCATCTACTCCAACCTACTCCAACCTATAACTCTAACCTAGTCGAGCATACTCCAAACTACGAAGATAGATAGATAGATAGATATACAGATAGGTAGATAGATAGATAGATAGATCCATGGAAAGATAGACAGATGGATATATGTGATAGATCACAAAGATCAGGGACTTGATAACTGTGTTATAACATGAAAAAGATAGATAGATAAATAGAAAGAGAATATATATAATACAGACATGATTAATGTTTGCATTAAAGACTAAATGTATAAGAGAAAAGTTTAAATAAAGGAAACAAATTAAAAAAATGTAAGCTTGTTGAATCCGTAATTTATGTATATCTTCTTACATAAAATGATATTGATATCTGAGAATGGTTCAGCACTAAAGCAGTGTGAGAATGAATTGATAAATGAAGGAAGGACGGAAGAGGTTTCACGTCCGGCGGGGAATATACTAGATAGATAGATAGATAGATAGATAGATAGATAGATAGATAGACAGATAGATTAGGAGTGGAGGTGGTGTCCATAGTAGGTAGTGAGTTACTGGAGTGTGTAGAGTGTTCTATATAATCAACCATCTGTACAGTTTACGCTGTACACCTGCTTTAACTGACAGTATACGCTGTACACATGATTTAACTGTACGGTATACGATGTACACCTGCTTTAACGTACAGTATACGTTGCAAACCTGTTTTAACTGTATAGTATACGCTGTACACCTGTTTGTGCAGTATACGGTGTACACCTGATTTAACTGTACAGTATACGCTGTATACCTATTTAGCTGTACATTATATGCTGTGCACCAGTTTAACTGTACTGTATACGCTGTATACCTGATTTGAATGTACAGTATACACTGCACACCTATATAACTGTACAGAATACGCTGTTCACATAATTTAACTGTACAGTATACGCTGTACAGTGTACACCTTCTTTAACTGTACAGAATATGCTGTACACTTTTTAAGCTGTACAGTATACGCTGTACACCTGCTTTAACTGTACAGTATACGCTGTTCATCTGCTTTAACTGTACGATATACGCTGTACACCTGCTTTAACTGTACAGTTTAAACGTTACACCTGATAAAATTGCACAGTATACGCTGTACACCTATTTAGCTGTACATTATATGCTGTGCACCAGTTTAACTGTACTGTATACGCTGTACACCTGATTTAAATTTACAGTTTACACTGTGCACATGATTTAACTGTACAATATACGCTGTACACCTGCTTTAACTGTACTAGTACAGTAGTAAACACGTATACCAGTACAATTGCTGTACATCCTATTTAATAGTACAGTAGTACACATTTATACCAGTACACTAACTGTACACCAATGTTCTAGTTTAGTATTTTACAAAATAATGGAATATTGATATAGTGCAATACATTAAAATTATAAAGATAAATAGACATGTGATATGTCTTCTTAAAATAAGCCTAGAACATTTTCTGTTGTTTATTAATATTAGTATATATTTATACATATGATATGTATACACACATATGATATGTAGATATATATATATTTATATACACATATGATATGTAGATATATATAATAAGTATATCGAACACATCTGCAGTTTGTTTACATTCATAGCAACATTAAATAATTTATTCTTATCATTTGTTAAGTATTGTAATTTTAACTTTGAAATACAAAAAACAGAAAAATAAATTTCAAAGAAAAAGATAGTTTTTAGGCATCCTAATTAATTTAAAAATATGCTTTTGACAATCTGGCTCTAAAGCTGTTTTGTACAGGGCGTCCCATATAATATTGGATTGTCTCCAAGCTTTAACGCCAAAATGCTAGCATTTAATCAAAAGATGTAGTACTTTCTACAAGAAAATTTGTATACTGCCCTTAAACAAATTTTAAAAATGATTCATTTATCTTAATACTTAAAATTAGTCCCGAAAATCTTAATTTGGAGCCATTTACGATCCAATATAATGTGGGACACCCTGTATATTATGACTATATTTGTGAGGAAACAACATTGTATCAGTGAACATTTATATATCAAGTCAACAGACAGTGATTTAACACAAACAATCGACATCACAGTGGTTTAATTAAATCTTCTGATGGATATTTGTATAGAAATGATATTATTGCCACAGTGATATAAAAAAACATAGTATTTTTGACAAAGTAACACTTTACACAGTGAACCATTATTATTTTAATAATTATGTAGAATATATTAGCACAGTTATCTACATCTATTTTAAAGATACTATCTACTATAATACTAATTATAGCATTGGGACGGTAATTCAGATAAATGGTTTAGGTACTTGGGGAATTCGTTGAATTCAAGGACAGTTTAAACTTTTAGAAAAATTTTCCTTGTCCAAAAAATCACCCCACCCCTTTCCTGTAGGGAAGAGGCTGGAAAAAAACTACATTAAAAAAACAAATAATAAATTTTGAAGATTAAACTTCTGTTAAGATAAAAAATTAAAACTTCGTAAAATAGTTATTTTTCACATGTACACATGTTCGCATGTTCACAGCCATGGAGACATAGGAAATAGTCTTTAAGCCTCCAGATTCGCATAATGACCTCCTAGCCTCCGTGAAACTGGCTCTGAGCCTTCTGCCTCTGACTATTGATTTTTAATTTTTATACTTGACTTTAATGGCATGATAAAAATTTGTATCTCTTAAAGTAGTTTACAGTTCATCGTCGAAAAATTAAAAAAAAATTACTTTTCAGAATTTTTTTGTTATATTTTATGAAGACTTACAATTACTCAAACCAGAAAATCAACAAAAAACTTGGGTTAAAATTGGGTTCAGTGCATAGATTTCATGTATTCATTTATTCAATTGATCTGTGATCATAACTTCTTTTCTAAAAAAAATATTTTTGTAGAATACTGCAGCTGGTACCTTTAAAACATGAGTCTAAAAATGACCTAGTTTAAACTTTATTTTTCTAAAACTGGAATGTTCTTAATAATTTTAAAAATTAGTGAGGTGTTGAAAAACAAAAATAACAGTCTTAATTCCAATTAATTGAACAAAGTGATAAAATATGATTTTTGGTTTATGAAATCCCAAAAGTCAATTAAGAATTTAAAATCAACATGCGAATCAGGAGGCTTGAAGACAATTAATTAAAGATTTTTCTATGAAATGGGCTTTTCAACAATTCATATAAAATGTTCTCCTTTTTTCAGTATGGATGACGATGAAAACCCTCCTGACTTGTTTATTGGTCTGGATTTCAGTACACAGCAGATCAAAGCTGTTGTTATCAACACAGAGCTTCAGGTAAACTAAAATGTCGTCTTCAACACAGAGTTTCAGGTAAACTATAATGTCGTATTTAACATAGAGTTTCAGGTAAACTATAATGTCGTATTGAACATAGAGCTTCAGGTAAATTATAATGTTGTCTTAAACACAGAGCTACACTGCAGGTAAACTATAATGTTGTCTTAAACATAGAGTTACACTGCAGGTAAAATATAATGTTGTCTTTAACACAGAGCTACACTGCAGGTAAACTATAATGTTGTCTTTAACACAGAGCTGCAGGTAAACTATAATGTTGTCTTTAAGACAGAGCTACACTGCAGGTAAACTATAATGTTGTCTTTAACACAGAGCTACACTGCAGGTAAACTATAATGTGTGGTCTTCAACANTTTAATGTGGTCTTCAACACAGAGCTTTCGGTAAACTATAATGTCGACTTGATCAAGGAGCTTCAGGTAAACTATAATGTCGTCTTCAGCACGGAGATTCAGGTAAACTTTAATGTCGTCTTTAACACACAGCTTCAGTAAAACTAAAATGTTGTCCTCAACACGGAGCTTCAGTTAAACAATAATGTCGTCTTTAACATAGAGATTCAGGTAAACTCTAATATCTTTCCTTCATAATAAACACCAAGGATTTGATCTTTTTATTTGTACTTTTTTGCAAATCAAAAATTCTTAGCAACATTTCTTAATTTAAGAAAAAGACGACAAGAACTCCGCTGTTTTTTAGTTTTCACTGTCATAAGAGGAGTTGTCAACATTGTTCTTTTAAACCCTTTAAATGATTAATGTGATAACTGAGCTTATTTTTTTTGACAACGCAGGCGTTGCAATAGTATCATCAAAGTATACATAGGGTTCCTTTCAAAGAATGAGACATCAGAGACGAATGTTCGGAATATCTCAGTCTTTTCAGTTTAAATTTTTTGTTCCGCCTCCAAGTTTATTTCTTTCTTTAAAGTCTTCAAAATATTTTCATATCATGGCTAGAGATAAAATTCCACCCTCTGATCGATATATTTGATATATTTTATGGTCATCATTTAAGTCTACTGGTAATCCTATAGCGCTATTTTCACTGTAAAGGTGGTTGCCGAGGCATTTGTACAATTTGACAGTATGTTACCAGAGTTCAGAACCCAGGGGGGTGTACATATATCAGGTAGCATAAACATAAACATAAACATAAACATAAACATAAACATAAACATAAACATAAACATAAACATAAACATAAACATAAACATAAACATAAACATAAACATAAATATAAACATAAACATTAACATTTTACAGGCAGTACTGTGACTGCCCCAACCCTTATGTGGGTGAAAGGACTCGATATTCTTCTAGAAAAGCTCAGGTATAAATGCGTCCAACCTTTGAACTATAAAATCCTTGCTATGACATTATGTTTAAATTTCTAAAAGAATTTGTTCGTGATTGTTTTGAATAAAAGGAGACACAAAAAACGAGTTACATTTAACAAAAAAAGGTAATTTGTCACGATAATTTCATTATAAGGAAGTAATTTAAATCACAGCTTTTATGTTGAAAAGGGCACGATATTCTTCTATACAACATCTTTGAGACCCGTCCCTGTAAGGTTTAAAATTAGGATGCCAAAAATGTGCATGAAATTTGTTTTTTTTTTATCAATATCAATTTAAAAAAAAATGTTGACTTGGCCCCTTTTCGACTTTGTTTAAAGCTTTAGTCAGAGTTTTCGCGTTAATTCATTGATCCCCATAATACCGTGGAATAGAAAGACGACCGTCGTAATTAAGACTTAACTTTAAATAATTCAATGAACACTAAATACAGTAACTGTGCTGTGTACACATATCAATTTTACTAAATAAGTTGTGTAAAACTCTTTTCTTTTGCAGAGCAAAGAATCTACATAAGATTGCTGAAATGTCTCATTCCACAGCTTCATGGGCCCAACTGTAAACATTTTTTGTTGTAGAGTGGAGGGTGTAGATCTGAGCAGGGTTGGAGGTATTAGTGGAGCAGGTCAGCAGCATGGTTCTATATACTGGAGACCAGGGGTTGAGCAGGTACTCAGGTACCCATTACACCCTTTATTTCTACAGTCGAGCATTCCCTTTAAATATAGAGCAGGTACTCAAGTCTCCTTTCAGTTTTACAGATCACTCCTTTAAATGGGAATTTGACCTTTATTAGCAATCTAAAAGTTTAGAGTTTAGTACCTCGCTGCAATCGTTTTTTTAGAGTTTTAAAGTTGATTCGGAGATGCCTCTCCGATACGTAGATGCTTCTCAGACACGTAGATGCTTCTCCAATTCAATGATTCTTGTCCGAAACGGAGATGCTTCTCCGATACGTAGATGCTTCTCCGACACTGAAAGTCTGCAATCTGCATAGAAATTGAAAACTTCGAAAGGCTGGAACACAAAGAAAGAAAAAAGCACAAACAGTCAAATTTCATACTGAAGGTTTCTGTTCATTTTGAAGGACCTGCCAAAATCTGGGAAACAAAAGCATTCGTATACAGTATATCATATGTACATGTCGAAGACAACACGGAACAGTACAGTACATGAATTGTCCTGTTCTATCTAGGGACCTGCAGCCGGACCGGTTTCTCCATGATCAGCTGAGTTCCGGATTCTCTATCCCGGATTCCCCAGTATGGATGGATTCATCTACAAACAAACAGTGTCAACAGTTAGGTAATATTATATCTATCTATCTATCTATCTATATCTATCTATCTATCTATCTATCTATCTATCTATCTATCTTTCTATCTTTATTTCTATCTATCTATCTATCTATCTATCTATCTATCTATCTATCTATCTATCTATCTATCTATCTATCTATCTATCTATCTATCTATCTATCTATCTATCTATCTATCTATCTATCTATCTATCTATCTATCTATCTTCTATCTTCTATCTATCTATCTATCTATCTATCTATCTATCTATCTATCTATCTATCTATCTATCTATCTATCTATCTATCTATCTATCTATCTATATATCTATCTATCTATCTATCTATCTATCTATCTATCTATCTATCTAATATATATATATATCCATCCATTGTATCTTACAAAACTCAAATTGTGTAATCCCTTTCTATATCTTTGCCACCTGCTGGTGTAAACCTTGTATATTTCAAACTTAGGTCTACATTCGGTTGCAAAGATATATAGAAATTCAGAGCATGTGGCAAATATTCAATTCCTTCTAACTTCATGTATCCATCTATATTTAAAGGGACTGTAGATGGAATCCTAAACACAGCTCTCTATAGTTAAAGAGAGACTTGCCCGATTCACAAGAGCATCCTATACAGACGTCTGAGAAGAGAAAAACAATGAATATATTTTAGGGCTTTCTGTCTGAACATAAATAACATCAAGTTGTAGGTTCTATTAAAGTGGGTTGCGGATTTCTGCAGTGGAGAGAGGGATCGAAATTAACAGAATAGGGAATGCAACTCTTTTATTGGGGCTGGGGGTCACACGGAATTGTGTTGACAGTCCCTTTCAGATATAATGTCTTCCGAATGAAAAGTTCAATGATCCTCCATATTAATATGGCTATGCCCAATTTACAACGGCACCCTTAACAGCTTTGTCATCTCTAGTACGGTGATATGCAATTATATAAATATAATAAAAATGACTTTAGATTTGAATTTTGATTTAATCAAGCATAGATACACAAAAACATAGAAACAAAGCTTCTCTTTCTTTTCTTGTAAATTTGTAATACAAAAAAAAGCTTACTAACAATTAAAACTGAAAGGGAGTGACCGGCAATGTATGGCAGTTGAACTGAGAATCTAAGATTGTGAATTTTTTAAACGCAAAGTTGACTTTCAAAATCATCCATTTGGGTGGTTGAGTTTGGAGAATCGATTGTTTGAAAATTATTAAATAAAGACGACAAAAAATGTAACCAAAATTCTACAGTAAACTAATTAGTTGTTTAGGAACAGGTTGAGAAAATAAAAATTAACTCTAATCATCGAAAATAAGTAATCTTATTCAGTTATCAGTTTCTGTAATCTCTCATTGTTCACAACATTTTCTGTAGATTTCCTGGAATTTTTATTGAAAAGACATCATTTGAAAATTTTTAGAAATTCGTAAAGAATAAGAAATTCAATTTAATAATAAAAAAGAAATAATTGATTCTAACATTGATTTATTGACAAATATTATTGAGAAAAATGTTCCTAAACATCTAACAGTCCCATTAGAATATTGAAGTTTTGTAAAATCCCTAAACACAAGCTGTCAGACCATAGCTTATTCTTGTTTAAATAATTTCATCTTGAGTTTGATATATGGAGGGTAGCTGACATCCCTAAAACTATGATTGATTGATTGTTTATTATCTATATAGAAGAGCACCTGGGTGGACCAGAGACTCTGACTGCTCTGACCGGCTCTAGAGCTTACCACAGGTTCACCGGAAATCAAATTGCTAAAATCAGGTAACACAAGAGTTCTTATCTTTTTTGAAGGGATGAAAAAATCCGCCAATCTGTATAAAATCAACAAAATTCAGATACTGAATGAAGGAACAAAAAAATCATATAATGCAGCATATATACATACATAAACAGAACAGTGGTATAACTGGAAAAAAATAAGTGTAGAACTTTTCTTCATTTGTCTTTTCATAATTATAAACAAAAATAATAGCGACTTTGTAATAACAGACATTTCTATGAAAATGTTTAGGACACATTTTCATAGTCAAAGATTAAGCTGCATTAATGAGGTTATAGTATAAATGTGTATTTGTCTATTGAAGCACAACCGTTGTACATTTGAATATCCGAGCTGGGCCAACCTTTGTGGTCCTAGTTTACTGTACCGCCAATTTCCAAATTTTAAAGCGGCAGACCTGTGTGTATTTAGAGCCCTTTCTCTCCCCCCAAGATCCTAAATTTAAATCCTAAATGAAAAGTTTTTTGCAGAGAGGAGAAACAGGAAGCTTATGATAACACTGAACGAATTTCTCTAGTGTCTTCCTTTGCAGCCAGGCAATCATTAAACAAATATATTAAATGTCGTCTTTTTAACCTATTACGTTTGAATTGTCGTCTTTAGTCTGTTTGTTGGGCGTGTTGTTGGTATTGACTGGTCTGATGGTGCAGGAATGAATATTCTAAATATTACAAATAAACAGTGGGTTCCACAGATACTAACCTTTCTAGGAGAAGGATTAGAAGACAAGGTAATAGGAATATTTAACTCTTAAATATAACATTCTTCAAAAGTTACTAGTTTGATGAATAAAAATTCTATTTGTCCTTTAACAATTATTTCAATGAAAAGTTTAACACAGCTAATGGCAAGTTTTAATAATATGTTTGATATATGTAACAAAAAGATTATCAATTTGTGAGATGAAGAGTTTAACATGAAAAATTTAGCAAAAACATCTTAACTGAAATATTCAACTAGCTGTTCGGGTCAATTTTTAATCTTATTATTATACAGTCGTCAAGTGTCAACGTATATATCGATACAATGAAGACGACTTTTGATTTGACTTTTTATTTCTACCAAGCTTTCAAACAGCATGGATACACATATAAACATTAAAACAAAGAGAAGCTGTAAAATTAACAGCTTCTCTTTGTTTACTTGTATGAATTGTAATTTGAAAAAAGCTAGTTAAAAATCAAAACTTTAAAAGAAAATTCGTCTTAATGGTATTGATATAAACGCCGACCATTGTACAGTTGGGGTCTCCTGTCCCTACAGATAGTGTTGTTGGTACAGTTTCTCCATATATGCAGGAAAGATATGGTTTCAACCCTACATGCATTGTAGGTAAGTAAAATTTGTCCAACTATCCATTTTTAGTTCAACTACTAACTAAAGTTAAAATAAAGTTAAAAGTAAGTTGAAAGTAAAGTTAACAGCAAAGTTTACAAATAAAGTTGAAATTAAAGTTAACAGAGCTGAAAACTTTATAATGGTGGATATGGAGATCAAAGCTTTTTCTTAATATCAAGATTAAGTATTAACGATATCCCATTCTAAAGTTTTCAGCTCAAGAAAGATGAAAATTACGTTTACAGTAAAGTTGACAACAAAATTGACAATAAATTTGAAATTTTAATTTAAAAGTAAAGTTAAAAATTAAATTGACAGCAGTTGCAGCAAAGTTGACAGTAAAATTTAAAAGTAAAATTAATAGCAACGTTAAAAGTAATGTTAAGAAAAAGTTGAAAGTTAGGTTTACAGCAAAGTTGGCAAAAAAGTTAAAAGTAAAGTTAACAGCAAAGTTGTCAATAAAGTTTAAATAAAAGGGGACAGCAATTTTTAAAATAAATTAATTTCATTTAAGTTAAAATCAATGTTATAATCAAAGTTAAAATCAAAGTGGACAGCACAGTTTAAATTAAAGTTGAAAGCAACGTTGAGAGTAAAGTTTACAGCAAAGTGGATATAATAAAATTGAAATTAAAGTTAAAATCAAAGTGGACAGCACAGTTGAAATTAAAGTTAAAAGCAACGTTGAGAGTAAAGTTTACAGCAAAGTGGATAATAACATTGAAACTAAAGTTAAAATCAAAGTGGACAGCACAGTTGAAATTAAAGTTAAAATCAAAGTGGACAGCACAATTGAAATTCAAGTTAAAATCAAAGTGGACAGCACAGTTGAAATTCAAGTTAAAATCAAAGTGGACAGCACAGTTGAAATTCAAGTTAAAATCAAAGTGGACAGCACAGTTGAAATTCAAGTTAAAAGCAAAGCAAGTTAACAGAAGAGTTGGAATTATAGTTAACAGCAACGTCGAGAGTAAAGTTAACAGCAACGTCGAGAGTAAAGTTTACAGGAAAGTGGATAGTTAACTTGAAAGTTACAAGTAAAATTAACAGCAGGTTGAAATTTAATTTAATAGCAAAATTTAAATTAACATTAACCGGAAAGTTTAAAGTAAAGTTAAAAATAAAGTGAAGAACAAACTTATAATTTAAGTTAACTGCAAAGTTAACGTTTAAATTAGCAGCAAAGTAGAAAGTAACGTTTACAGCAATCTTAACGATAAAGTTAAAATGAAGTTATAACAAAAACTAAAAAATACAGATACAAAATAAATTAAAATATCTGTCTTAAAGTTATTAATTAAAATCTGATATTTTATTATCTAAACTCACACTTTTAAAAACTTTGGTTGACAAAATTAAATGAAAAATTCCATAATGTGAAATTTATTTAGGAGCATTTACAGGAGATAATCCTAGCAGTCTTGCCGGACTTTGCCTTCATGAGGGGGACATAGGATACTCTTTAGGTATACTGGGAACAATTTAATAAATTTGAGCTATGTCGTTAAACTTTGCCTACCGCCGCGCGGTTCACAGCTTGAATTAAAGATTCATGAGGATTTAGATTAGTTATTCAGGATTTGAACCCTAAGTAGTTCCACTTCCACGGTTTAAATATGGTTGGTTCCACTTAATATTGTATCAAATGTTTCAAGATTTAAGCCGGCGCTTGATTTAAACCGGGTTTTGGCGGATTTAATCCGCGGCTCAAATACTTTAAATTCCATCTCAGGACCTCTCAAATTCATCAAATTCGTTCTTTGATAATACAATTCAATAGTTTCAATACAATACTTAAATAAAAAATAGACTTTAAAGTCTCAACAATAGTTGAGTTATTGTCTGATCAATGAATCAGTTTCTTTTTTTTCAACAAACCTTTTGTTTTTGTTTTAGATTGCCCTACTAATTTATTGATTTATTGATTAATCAATAATTTCTTCATTGTCCTATTTATAAATTAATTTATTGTCTAATCAATAAATTGATTTATTGTCTGATCAATAAATTTATTTATTGTCTGATCATTAAATTGATATATTGTCTGATCAATAAATTTATTTATTGTCTGATCAATAAATTGATATATTGTCTGATCAATAAATTGATTTATTGTCTGATCAATAAAATGATTTGTTGTCTGATCAATAAACTGATTTATTGTCTGATCAATAAATTGATTTGTTGTCTGATTATTAAATTGATTTATTGACTGATCAATAAATTGATTTATTGTCTGATCAATAAATTGATTTGATGTCAGTACAATAACTTACTTATCGTTTGATCAAGTTTCTTGTTAGTTCAACACATTAATTAACATTCTGATTTATGCATAGACTTGTTGTCTGATCAATAAATTGATTTATTGACTGATAAATCCATTGATTTATTGACTGATCAATCAATTGATTTATTGACTGATCAATGAATTGATTTATTGACTGATCAATTAATTGATTTATTAACTAATCAATAAATTGATTCATTGACTGATCAATGAATTTATTTATTGACTGATCAATGAATTGATTGATTTGTTGTCAGATCATTGATTTTCTGATTGATTGATTGATTGTTCAGGAACATCTGATACTATATTTGTGTGGGTAAAGGAACCGAATCCTCAGCTGACAGGATCCATATTCCCTAATCCAGTTGATCCAGCAGCATACATGGCAATGCTCTGCTACAAGAATGGGTCCTTAACTAGAGAAAAATTCAGGTTTGATTAATTTGATTCATTTGATTTATTTAATTGATTTGATTGATTTAGTTGATTTGATTGATTTGATTGATTGATTCATGAATCTGAAAGATAGATGGAGAAAAAAGATGGTTAGATAAATAATGAATTTCTGATTGATTGTCCAGAGATTCCAACGCTGGTGGTTGTTGGACGAGGTTCAATAACCTGCTCGAGTCTACCCCTAGAGGTAATTTTGGAAACCTGGGATTCTACTTCACGCTACCGGAAATAGTTCCTGCGGGGATACAGGGAGACTTCCGGTTTAATAAATCAGGTATTTGAGCAAGTTGTGAAAAATATCCCAAAATATAATTTTTTAAAAATAATGTATCCAAATATTATATAATAATATTGGCAGAGAAAATGCTTGCAAAAAGCCAAAATATGGTATTATCTATATTAGCATGTTTTTCAATATTCAGATGAACCAGTTTTGAAATTTGCAAGCGAAGAAACGGAGATCAGGTGAAAAAAAGAGAGTTTACTTACTTACTTGGGAAATGGGAATACTTGTAGATTTGTCATCAGAGTTCCAGATAGGAGCATAGAGATGACGTCTTTATGTATCCAGGATTTTGCTCATAGGTTTCTTATTCCTGCTGTTCTGGTATTTTATCATATAAATACTTGAAAGTTTTAATATTTCCTGATCTTTTGATATATTCTGGTAATTTGTTCCATTTCTCCGCTACTCTGTTGGTGAAGAAATTTCTTCTAACCTCAGTCCTGCATCTGGTTGTTAGTATATTTAATGCATCAGAAGATTGCCTGGTAACCCTGACTGATTCTTCTCCTGCAGTTTGGAAGAACTGTCTCCTGTCTACATCATCATAATTGTGCATGAGTTTGAACACTTGAATCATGTCATATCTAATCCTTCTTTCTTCTAAAGATTGAAGACCAAGCTCTTTTAGCTTATCCTCATACTCCTTGCTTTGCAGACCTGAAATCATTGTTACAGCTTTCATTTGTACTTTTTCCAGAACNGGTGTCAACAAATAATTAAAGTTGTACCTATATGCAGGGTGTTAACAAATAATTAATATTGTACCTATGTGCAGGGTGTCAACAAATAATTAAAAATGGATCTATGTACAGGTTGTCAACAAATAATTAAAAATGGATCTATTTACAGGGTGTCAACAAATAATTAAAGTTGTACCTATATGCAGGGTGTTAACAAATAATTAATATTGTACCTATGTGCAAGGTGTCAACAAATAATTAAAAATGTACCTATGTACAGGTTCTGTCAACAAATAATTAAAATTGTACCTATGTACAGGTTCTGTCAACAAATAATTAAAATTGTACATATGTACAGGGTGTCAACAAATAATTAAAATTGTATCTATGTACAGGGTGTCAACAAATAATTAAAATTGTACCTATGTACAGGTTGTCAACAAATATTAAAATTGTACCTATGTACAGGGTGTCAACAAATAATTAAAATTGTATCGATGTACAGGGTGTATACTATGAGTGGAGTAAACTCTGCTGCGGCGGGAGGAGCCTACAGGAAAAACTAAATTTAGAACATTTCTAAAAAAACATATTTATTATTTTTTAAATGATCTGACGACAGGGTAAAGAAAAGCTAACATGTTTTCAATCATAATTGTTCTTTAAACAAGATAATGAGAAGAGAACAGTTTAGAATTTTTCATAAGTAATGAAATAATAAAGCTTTTCTCATATTAAGGGATAAAATTATAAATAGAGGAGCTACAAGGACTTAAAGTCGTAACAGTAATAATTTATTTTACCCTTTATTTTATTTTAGATTATCTAGAATTTCTAATAAATTCCGGAGTTCTTAATTTAAGGGCTTTTTACTATTTTCTAAATTTGTTTTATTGTATACAGAGCACTACATTTGTACAAAGGAGGAACTGAAAAGGTAGATAATACACTTGTACAACGTGATGTACAAGAAAATCACAAATTTGAATCTTGGAAAGTAAATCTCGGGATTGCTGTAAATTTCATTTTTTATTTAGACATATATATATATATATATATATATATATATATATATATATTTTTAAATAATTACCAATCAAATGATTTGATTTGACGTTATGTCATCAAAATATTCTTTAAATGGCTTGCAGCTGAAAGATTTGTTTAGAAAAATATAAGTTTACAGCTGAAGGGAAGCTGGAATGTAAAATCATAGATCGAATAATTTCCGTACAATCGTCTCTGAAGTCTCATCCTTTGTGGGTAACCCTGTATTTACACTTATAGACTTCTAATAGAAGAAAGCCAAACAAAATTATTAACCGAAAGGACCTTTTAAACTTTTTAAATTTTTTCCTAAATCTTTGGATAGGACACCATCGATACTGAGAGTAGACAAAATAAACCAAATAAATGGCCGTGCATAAGGTGATTTTGTACGTTTGTATTTAAGAAAATACCGCAAATAATTTACTCTCTAACATTTATTTAATTTTTTCATTTATTCATCAAAGAATGCACCAATTACTTACTTAAAGTATCCTCAACGAGCCTACGAGGTGTTTTCAAATTCGCCCTTTAAACATTCACATTTACAGAGTTTCAGGCCGAGTCATTTGTGTTGTGGGTAGGTAACCCTGTATACATATATGTACACTGTACAGATACAAAAGTACTATTGTGGTGTACCCTCTAATGTATTCAAATATCTTTGCGTACTCCGCATGTTAATTTATCTAATCATGTACACTCCCAGATACCGTACAGTGAAGTTGTACAAGACATTACTGAAGCACAAATTCTCGCGGCTGAACCAAATAGGTAAACTAAAAATGAAATACATTTTTCAAACTTCATAAATTAGTATTTTGTAATCATCATAATAATATATATGTCTAAAAAAGCTTAGTGTTCGAAACTCTATGTGCTAAATAGCGCTAACCTACATGTAAGTTGTAACAGAAGAATAATCTCGAAAAAAAGTTTTTAGAAATTTTGGCCTGAAAAATTGGCCCTGTGGATAAAACACTTAAAATTGAAAGGTCAAAGGAAAGAAAGTCCTACCATTTTAGTGAAATAAGTCACAGGAAATTAAAAACTCATGACTTTATTTCCTGTGACATTTGTCCCGTGACTTCCTTCTTACATAGATTCACTCTACAAAACGAAATTTGATGGAAAGTTGAAAAACAGAAAAAAATAGAACAAATAAAATTCTTTCTACGGTTTCCAAGTTCATGTACGACGACACCCCTGAATGTTGTAAAGTTGTACAGTTGTACAATTGTACGATTGTACATATATGTTTAGGGATGCTGAATCTGTGTACCGTCCTCTGATAGCGAGGTACAGAGAACTGGAGAAAACCATTGTACAGAAGTTTAACAATTTGTCTTATAGTAGTACATAGAGTACAAAGAGTACATGGAGTACAGAGAGTACACAATATTTTGTAAATTAATAAAATTAGATTTCTATTTTTATATCCCGGTGTTTTTGTAACTATGAATATTTTTTTTGAAAATATATTTTGTTTAAAAAATGTGATGTAAAAATCTATTTTATTTATATCTTTGTGACCTCAAGAAAGTTGGAGTTTTTCAACCACTTTTTTGTAGTATTCCAGAAGAGTTAATAATTATTTAATTGTTTGATTCACAATTTTTTGGTCCAAACTGCAAGTTTTTTTGGGTGATCTTAAGCTCACTTTACCGTCCTAAAATATTCTGCTTTTAACTAATAGAAAACTATACTTAATGACATCTAACAAATTTTGCTTGAAAATATTTGGTATTTTTCATACAAATGGGAGTGAGATGCGTAACAAAATCACAATTTTAGCTTTAATTTCGCAGGAGAGCACGTTTTTAATTTAACTGAACTTACAAACCCGAAATATAAAAAAATTACATTGTGTATCAATTAATAATATTTTGCGAACAAAATAGTCAATTTAAATGCACTTTTTAAGGCAAAACCAAACTGATCCGAGTGAAACATGTAAGCGTCGAGCGAGTAAGGGTTGCAACTTGCAGGGGGACGGAGCCAGGCCCCCGAAAAAATGTTACATCAATTACTATCGATTAGGGGTGTTAAATTTTGTGATTTTTTTCTGAAATCATTTTACAGAATTTTAAGGCATATACGTGAAATGCATATTTTACAAAAATAAAAAATGGCTACCTTAAATTACATTTACAATAAAGTGAAAATCAAATGTTTAAAAGCATGATGGGTATCAATCATCAATCATGTTTATGTGAATATCAGAGTTCAAAACAATTTACAGAATTAAAAAAATATTAAAAATTTGGCAAGCTATGGTAAAAAAGTCTCAAACATTTTTAGTACTAAAAAATGTGTTTTTTTTTCTTCTTTAAATCTGTAGATTTTCAATGTTTGTATCATATATTAATTTAAACACCAGCTAGGACACTTTATGTCGTCTTTTCAAGAATGGTATTTCGTTCACAATAACTCTGAGGCAGAATCCCAAAGGAGTTGCGCATAGTCGGCGAAGAACAGGCTCTTTCTCTGTCTTGTAATTCCACAGAGCGAGAGCCGGTTCTACGAGGGAGGGGGTGCAGAGGCGCCATGATCCCCGCAAAAATGATCTCCGAACCTCAGGATTTGCAGAATTATAGTTAAAACCTTAAAATTTCTAAGACGTTGTCAATTATTAGAAATTATTTAAATTCTCAAAATATTTTTTTTTGATTTTTCAGCAATGCCTACTTTTGAGTTTTTTAGCTTATAGTTTTCAATTTATTATTCTCATTTTTACACATTTTCATTTTAAGTTCTTTCCCTGTCTTTCTTTTTACTTTAAGAGCTTAATATAGTGTATAATGATGATTGAAATTTTATATACATATTTAATTATTTCGATTTCTGGGGGGTAATTCTGCAAATCCTGAGGTTCGGAGATCATTTTTGCGGGGATCATGGCGCCTCTGCACCCCCTCCCTAGTTCTACACCGACTACGCTTAACTCCTGTGGACTTCTGCCTCAGGGTCATTGTGAACCAAATACTTATAAATCTTGAAAAGACGACATCTAGTGTTATATCTGTTATTTTAATCAATCTATGGTTTTCATATTCCGTAATTTGATTTGAATTCGAGAAAAACAGCTTAGTTTCGAAAATACCAATGTATATCTGTTTAAAATTTTCATTTACGTTTATATTAGTGTTTTTTTTTTTTTACATTTTTATCATTACGACCCATTTCAAGCCATTTCTGAATTTTGTAAAAAATGCATTTTTTAAACAAATGCCAATTTGAATTCAAAGCAGAGTACAATTTTGCTTCTGTAAAATGCTTTCAGCAAATGTCACAAAATTTAAAACCCGACTTTACGATAGTTTCGTTTTTTGTCGCTGTAATGTCACTAAAAACTATAAATTATAATGTGCTTCAATGCTAAAATCATCATAAACTTAATTTTCAAAATAAGAAATCATAATATTCAATAACTTACAGCATTGGACTGGTCAAAACGTAATTTATTGGATTGATGAAAAGTAAAACTATCTTGATTTGTCAATTAATTACGAAATTATATTTTCACATTTAAAAGTTCAAAGATCATTTTTTCCCAAAGAATAGGCTTATTTTAACAAATTGTTAGTTTTGTTAAAGCACCTTAAAGTATCGACTAGAAACATTTTACAGTAAGATTTTAAGGTAGTCTCTAGAAAAGGAATGGGTCAAAAAATATTCTTGTTCAAGAAGAGGGGTCTTCGAACCCAATTGACCCCTCTTGTATCCGCGCGCCTGTTTTTCATCATACATTTTTAGAAGGAATAAGATTTAATGGGCCGGGCTAACAAAATTTGAAAGATAAGGTACGTGAGGGGTAAAGAACCCTGCCCCCCCCCCCNTAGTTGCGCCACTGTGACCCAACCTTATCTTTCCTTCTCTCTCTCCTGTATTTATGTTATCTGTACTTCGGAACTCGGGATTTCCGACATTGTTTAGTTAGAGTTTAACTTTAGATCAGTAGACCGACTTTGCTGCACCAGTAGCTTACTATTGGGTGAAATTTCAGTTTACATCAGTGAAATTGTATTTTAGATAAATTCCCGCAGCTATATCTTTGTTTAGTATGTGGCGTGGTTAAAAGTTCTTTTTGGGTCAGCTGTAGCTTTTATAAAAAAGAAATGTTTACGCCCCCCATCCCGAGCCATGCCTCTTCCGACTAATAAAAGTTTCTGATCTGCTCTCATCCATTTATTTATCAAAAAGCGTCAGTGATAACTTTCCAACTATGACGCTTATGACGTATAATCTGTTTAATAATGCAGACCAAAGAATGTTTTGAAAATGTCGTCTTCCTTAATATGACGCAATTTTAGTCTGCGTAAAAACAGGTACTTGAGGGGTTAGTATTTTTTCTTTTTTCATTTGTCAATTTTTTAAATTTTACTATGAATCTTTTTCATAATCAACAAATTATCAGATTTTTGAAAAATATAAAAAAATAATTTCTACGCAAATCCCCCTTTGTTATTGCCATGAGACGGCTAGCAACTAGACTAAGGCAGTTTATAGTGGAAAGTGCCTGAGTCACAAATACATTGTTTATATTTTTGTGAAAGAAAGAAAATATATATATATTGTGAAAATGTCGGAAGCTACACATGATTCATTGTAAGTGTTAACTGGGGTCTGTCCTAGTATTGTTTAAAACTCTTATTTTCCATCCGGAAACTTAAAACTGTAGAGCTTTCAGTCTTCACCAAAAGACTCTTATTTTATTAATTGTCTGTCTAAAACACTTATTAAACTCTTCTACAAAAATAAAAAAGTATATATGTTATATTTTTGAATAATGGGGTTTATATATACATTAAATATATACAGGGTGAGTCAAAAAAAGTTTGATTTAAGACGCCTGGTGCAAAATTGTACCTTTTTTGTGCAATTCTCCTGTATGGTGTTTTTTTCAAAATTTTTTGAAAATTTTTTATTTTTTTTTGGTACTCCAATAGCCCCAAAAAATCAGCGAACTTTTTTTCTCTCAAAATCAAAAGTTCAGAAAAGCAAAAATGTGTATATAAATTATTTCTACCGAAATCTAAAATTATAATGATTGAGCCAAAGAATCACAGAAAATTCTTAAAATTGTAATAAGAATATTCGAAATTTTTAGTTCTGGTCTAATTTTTAGTTCCTTTCTTCTTAGTGTATTCTAAAGTATCAAATATACGCTGTTCAGTTGAAACCTTAAAAACCATTGAAAAAAAATTTTCCGTAAAAATTATACCAGAACTGAAAAATGCGAATTTTCTTATTACAATTTTGCAAATTTTCTAAAATTCTGTGATTCAATTTTTTAAAATTTTAGATTTCAATAGAAACAATTTATTCACACATATTTGTTTTTCTGAACTTTTGATTTTGAGAGAAAAAAAAGTTTGCGGATTTTTTTGGGCCATTGAAGTACAAAAAAAATAAAAAATTTTCAAAATTTTTTGAAAAAACACCATACATGAGAATTGCACAAAAAAGGTACAATTTTGCACCAGGCGCCGCAAATCACACTTTTTTTTGACTCACCCTGTATGTATATATATAAATAATAAATTTCATAAAAATTCATTCAAAATTGAATTGGAAATTCTTCGGTAAATGTTATCGAATTATAACTAGAGAACTGTTAATTCTTCAAAATGCAGATAATTGGTTTACATTTTTTGTTATATCTCATTTGATTTTTGATGAATTTTTACGAAATTTTGGAAACAATAGAAGGAACATTTTCCAAACAATTTTTTCAAAAAAAAATGGTTTTGCTATTTTAGGTTTAGTGGTGCAAAAATATTTTTTTTTTTTGCTTAAAATAACCACTAAAAAATTTGGAAAGTGTTGTCCAAAATATCGATAATCCCTATTTATTAACTCAGCCTGTATATATCTATAGTCCTGATATATCCTCTCTGCAACCTGTGACAGATATAGAGCTTCCAACACAGTTCCAGATATCCCAGGATAAACTCACATTGTCAGGTAATTTTCTAAATACTTATTTAAAGGGGGTGTGCGTGGTTTTGTATATAGGGGTATACACTATACAGATCATATTTGAACATTTTAAATTAAAGTAATTTCACGTTTAAATCGTATATGCTTTCAATCACAACCCCTCTAGTTTTAAACCTATTTTTAAAACAAAACATATTTTGAATATCTTAGAAGCTTTTCTCTCTCATCTTCGACGTAAAATCAAAACTAGAGGAGCTACAAGGTCACAAAGTCGTACTATTATTTTAAATTATGAACCTTATTTTTTATCTTATTTTCACGCCCACCTATAATTTTTATGATTTTATTAAAACTAGTTTAACAGTCACATTTTTATCTCCCCCTTTGGAATAAAAAAATTATTTTTGTTTTAAGGACTGATAAACTGTCAGCTGACCCAGGAGTATTCACCCATACATGTTATAGAAGAGGATTCTATCGTTTCATTCACGGTAATTAAGGGTATTGTGATCTTGTAAATGATGATATTGATGATCTTGTAACTATGATATTGATGATCTTGTAATGATAAAATTAAGATTATGTAGATGATGATATTGATGATCTTGTAGGTGATGATATTAATAATTATGTAGATGATGATATTGATGATCTTATAGATGATGATATTGATGATCTTGTAGATGATGATATTTATGATCTTTTAGGTGATGAAATTTATGATCTTGTAAATGATGATATAGATGATCTTGTAGATTATGATATTGTTGATCTTGTAGATTATGATATTGTTGATCTTGTAGATTATGACATTGATGTGTTTATATTTAGTTAAGTCCTCAGGAGACTCTAGATCAGCAAGATCAGCAGCTGGAGATTCTTCTGCAACAACATGAAGTCAATGATATCCAGGTATGATTCATTCCTTTATAAATTCACCCTTTAACAGCTTTATTCATTCTTTAAATCATATCTCAATTTTTCATTATTAAATCTATACGTTCATTTATTCATTTATTCGTTTATTTAATTGATTAATTCATTTTATTTCATTAATTCTTAATATTGTTAATTTGTTCACTATTTTAATAATTTATTCAATAATAGCTGAAGTGCTCGGCGTTGCCCGTGGAATTAAAAAAGTCCANCCCCCCCCCCCCCCCCAAGGGTAGCCATGGGTTGCCAAACAAGCGTCAGCCAATTTGGTTCAGCAGTTTTGCCAGCTATAGCTAAAATATAAATATACATGAGCGAAGAAATTTATTACATTGATTAAGTCACTATTTTGTTAATTTTAATTATTTACTTATTTATTAATTTATATTCTTTCATCATTTCATTTACTCCTTTAATTGATTATTTATTTATTCATTTAATAATTCATTTATTCATTTCTGAATGTTGTTTAGAGTATAATGAATGGATTTGGTAACCCTGATTCCCTCTCAATCATGGATAACAAGGTAGGAATTGATCAGGAAAGATCGCTTAATCTCTCCGGTGAATAGAAAATGATTTTAACTCCAATTTAAAGTTCTCATCTCAGATTAATCTAGAAATAAAAATATTTTGTCGCTAACATTGCAGCGGGAAATTCCAATTCAAAATATAATTAAGTGGATTATTTGCAATTCGATTATTTTTATTCTACTTTCTTTCACGTGTTAAAAATGCGAGTTTTCCTTAAAAATGGAATTTTAACCCTTAAATAATTATTTTTAATTAACTTGACTGTTTTACATATTTGTTTCACCTAAAAAGAAATTCAATTTAGTTTATGGACCTTGTATTCTTGCTCATAAGGGTTCTTCACAAAAAAATGTCTGGCCCGCTTTTAATAAATTGGTTTAGATATATGATATTTCATTGAAAGAGTAAACACCAAGGTTGCAAGACGACCAGGGAAGCAAAGGGACAGTGCGCCAATTTAATGAAATCTTGTGGTGTAGGATGATATGGGAGGGATGTTTAAAGAACCTTGGATGGAGATAGTAGAACAACCTAAATCCAACAGTTTAAGGTACTTACTGTACTTTAAATAGTCAGTGTAATTAGTGTACTTAAATTGAAGTAATTGTACTTGGTGTACTAAGTTTACTAAATGTACTAAGCTTATTTATACTAAAAATCTTAAAGTACATGATGAACCTAAGGTAATTTCAAGTGACCTCCCATACAAAGACAGCAATGATTTACAACAGTACCCTTGAAACCTTAAGCTGATCAGAAATGAGAAAGATAATGTAGTTTTTCTGACTCGAAAAGTGTTCACATGCATCTGTGAGTTTCTCTGTTACTCTCGGAGAGAAACCGCAAATGAAAATAAACAGTTTAAAGAAACAAAAACATTGATATATAATTCATACTTGATCAGACAAAGCTTTCAAGGGTACCGTTGTAAATCCTGGCATTGCCATTTTTGCATAGAGGGTCACTTGAAATTGCGCGTCCAGTCCCTTTAATGTTACTGTACTGTATAGCTTAATTATTGTACTTTTTTGCACTTAGAGATGGGTATAATTAGGAACATTGGGTACCCAGAACAGGACAAGATACATTTTTTTCTTACATTTTTATAGTTTCAAAGTTGAAATTAAAAATAAACAGTGATATCTCTATTTCAAAATGGATTTAGTTCATGGGTAATATGATAGTTTAAAACTAAAAACTAAAAGTTAGCTGTTTCTTGAAATTTGATCAGAACGATTTATCTATTTATGATTCACAGTATTTTAGCTTTATCATTTATTTCTTGCATTGTTTGATGGCATTGGGCGTTTTGTAGCATTGCATTGGGCGTTTTACAATCGGCCTTTTTTATAATTGACGTCTTGGTTTGGGGCGTTATTTTCTAAAATATAAAATAACAATGCTTAAGAATATGTTGATTATGCATGTAAAAAGTTCAAAGCTTTCCTCTTAATATTTTTTTTACAAAAACTGATTAAAAGTTACTTAAGAAGAAAGTAATGAATTTTAGTGGTTAGAATTTATTGGAACCAATCAGAACTAGAAAGATAATCAAACCAATTTCTAAATTACGAATTTTATATTTAGATTCCGATATGAATGTGAGGGTAAAGGAGCAGGGGCACTCCAGGGCAAATTTTCAACACAAGAAACAAAAACATTTCCGAAAATCAAGGTAGGATTAGGTCATCTGCAAACTGAGAAACACGTCAAGGGGTCAATATCACTTTGAATATTGTTGTGATTCAGGCTTTGCCATTCAAAATACGATTACAGTTCCTTGAATATTATTGTTTAGGTTCATGGATTCCAGGGGTTTGCTACAGTTGTAGTCAGCTGTGTAACACATAACCAGGATCCACCTAAAGCACATCCTCATAACCTTGTCAGTCCAGCCTCGGTAGGTTTAAACCACATGCTCATAACCTCGTCAGTCCAGCCTCGGTAGGTTTAAACCCCATCCTCATAACCTCGTCAGTCCAGCCTCGGTAGGTTTAAGCCCCATCCTCATAACCTCGTCAGTCCAGCCTCGGTAGGTTTAATCCTCATCCTCATAACCTCGTCAGTCCAGCCACGGTAGGTTTAAACCTCATTCTCATAACCTCGTCAGTCCAGCCTCGGTAGGTTTAATCCTCATCCTCATAACCTCGTCAGTTCAGCCTCGGTAGGTATAAACCACATTCTCATAACCTCGTCAGTCCAGCCTCGGTAGGTATAAACCACATCCTCATAACCTCGTCAGTCCAGCAGCCTCGATTGGTTTAAACACCATCCTCATAACCTTGTCAGTCCAGTCTAGGGAGTAAGGAATAGAAGGGAGATATAACTGACGCGGTTCGCCCTACCTTATGATTATACATGCTTTACAGACGAAGTACTCCATTTGAAAAAGAGTTTTTTTAAAGGTCGTCTTTTAATTTTTTAAATGTACTTTTTACTTTACCATTATAAATAAAAACAATCTTATTTAATATAAAAAATACGTTTGTATTGCTAATAATTTTGCATCTTAAAAATGAATTTATTTGGCGATGTTCAGCATACTTTTTTCCCTGTTAAATGTATTCAATGACCTTTTCTGAATACATGTACGCGGTAATTGTGCATAAGAACACATTTAAATATTTCTTATTCATATGGATTACTTCGTCTGTAAAGCATGTACAATCATATGGTAGGGCGAACCGCGTCAGTTATATCTCCCTTCTATTCCTTACTCCCTGGTCCAGCCTCGGTAGGTTTAAACCCGATCCTCATAACCTTGTTAGTCCAGCCTCGAAAGGTTTAAACCCGATCCTCATATCCTCGTCAGTCCAGCCTCGGTAGGTTTAAACCCCATCCTCGTAACCTCGTCAGTCCAACCTCGGTTTGGTTTAAACCCCATGCTCATAACTTCGTCAGTCCAGCCTCGGTAGGTTTAAGCCCCATCCTCATAACCTCGTCAGTCCAACCTCGGTAGGTTTAAACCCCATCCTCATAACCTCGTCAGTCCAGCCTCGGTACGTTTAATCCTCATCCTCATAACCTCGTCAGTCCAGCCTTGGTAGGTTTAAACCCCATCCGCATAACTTCCATCGTCTAAAGGAGCATCATCTATGACTAAATTAGCATCTGATAGATCTAAAGTAGCACTCATTGGGTCAATATTAACACTTTAATAATGTATTATCCCTAGGTCCCAAATGAATGTATTATCTCTAGTTCCCAAATAAATCTATTATCCCTGGGTCCCGAATAATTTATCTCTAGCTAGGTCCTGAATGAATGTATTATCCATAGGTCTCGAATAAATGTATTATCTCTAGGTCCCGAATAAATCTATCATCTCTAGGTCCCGAATAAATGTATTATCTCTAGGTCCAGAATGAATGTATTATCTCTAGGTCCCGAATAAATGTATTATTCCTAGGTCCCGAATAAATGTATTATTCCTAGGTCCCGAATAAATGTATTATTCCTAGGTCCCGAATAAATGTATTATCCTTAGGTCCCGAATAAATGTATTATTCCTAGGTCCCGAATAAATGTAATATTCCTAGGTCCCGAATGAATGTTTTATCTCTAGGTCCCGAACAAATGTATTTTTCCTAGGTCCCGAATAAATGTATTATTCCTAGGTCCCGAATAAATGTATTATTCCTAGGTCCCGAATAAATGTAATATTCTTAGGTCCCAAATGGATGTAAGTTTGGAATCTGTACACAAGTAATCAACCCTGAGACAATGACAGCAGAATTCCCCCATCTTGGTATTCAGTGTGTCAGGTAAAAAGATAGATCGATAGATATTAAAGAGACTGTGTACGTGATTTAAAATTAAACTCCATTGATAGAGATGCACGACACTTTTAAAAAACATTATCTGATCAAGAAAGAATTAAATTCTCATGTTTTCTCTTTGAAAATTGAATACTTTCAATGGGGGTTTCTCTTAGAATAGTGACTTATTAAAGCAAGGAAAACACCGATTTTTTTTTCACGTTATTGATCAGATTTATATATTCATAATACCGATTCGGTGTAAGTCCCTTAAAAGTCCTGCAGATATGGAGAATTTTGTCCAGAATAGACAATTCAGAGTGTATTTAATATTTTGAAATTTGAACACAATTTTTAATATCTCCGGTATGAAAGCACAAAAAATGCCAGGGCTAGGTAAGTTTCGGTGTTTTAGAAATCATAAATGTAAAAGTATGTTTCCAAATGAATGCCGCATATTATTTCTAAGATCAAAGACGATATTCAAGTTCTTTCTATTCATTGTCATGTTTCGTGGCACACACTGTAGTTAAAAAATCACTTTTAATTTGCTTTTAAAAAATCCAATGAGCATGAGACGCAGAGCCATTGTGCATTGTAAACTAAGCTTAAATTAACTTAATTAAATCACTAAATTAGTGATTTAATTAAGTTAAAGTAAAACTATTTGCTTTGTAACAACATCAAAAGTCAAAACACATAAATATTGAAAAAACGTCGTCTTCCTATTCCATTGTTTACTGGTTATCCCTGTATGTCAAAATATTTAGGAGGAAGGATATAAAACGATCCCTGGACCTACGACGAGAAAAGAAGGTTGACCCATACCGCCAGGGCTGGAAGCATGTAGAGAATCCACAGAATATAGATCTTAATGCCGTTAAACTCTGCTTCCATGTAAGAAAAAATAAACAAATCAGAAATTAAATTCAAATTCAATGTGTATCGTTCTCAAAAATGGCTTTCTTTTGAATCGAAAAATCTAATGTACAAATGACTAAGTCGCCATAATTTTCATTAAGAACTGCTAAAACTTACATCTAAGGTACACACTCACAGAATGTATAATCATATTATTAATGTTTTTTTAACACATTTTGGTTCGGGACAACCCGGACAAGTGTATGAAATATACTATCAACCAAGGTTGGATTTAGGTTTGGTATGAAGCGGATGTTCCTGGGAAATGCACGAAACCAATGAAACCGGTTTGCTCCGATCCCATCTACGATGCCAAGGAAACCAAACCAAATCATGAATTCAAAATGGCGGCAAACATTTATTTCTATCTTCCATGCTAGGTTTACGTAAATTTTTAGTTTGTTATTTTACAGCATACATTTCTATTGTCAAAAGTACGTTGAAAAGTCAACTTTTAATTGGTTTAACTCGGTGCAGGCTAAAAAGGAACTTCAGATTTGTGACATTTCTGACACTTCGTCCCCGGCTCTAGGGGATAAGAAGATTATAATACTCTGTGAGAAGATTTCAAGGTACAGTTAAAAAAGAGTTTGGATAGAGTTTACCTTTAATTTCTGTTTTCTTTAAAAGGCATAGTGTAAGAACTTGCAAAGCAAATGTTTTTTTCTAAACATTTCTTTTCTCACAACAGTTTTGAAATTTTTTTTTTTTAACGATCCAAAACTATGAAAAAACTAGTCTAGGCGATTTGAACGGCAAAAAGATTTCAAGGTAGAAGGAAGATTTTAAAGCAAATCAAATATTAATCAAAATTTGTTTTCTTTTAGAGACGACATTCGGGTTCGTTTTTACGACGAAGCAGGATGGGAGGCTTATGCTAACTTTTCCCCTAGTGAAGTCCATAAACAATATGCGATATCATTTAAAACTCCAAAGTACAGGGTAAGCATTGAGTATTTTTGCACCGGAGACGAAAATTTAAAGAAATAAATTAACCAAACTTTAATTTTTGATTTCGATTTTTTGTCTAAACCCAAAAAGTTCTTAAAAATTACATCTGTAAAGGAATTGAGTCGTAACCACAAACTCGGATTTGATAATCACTATATCTTTGCAACCAAATAATGTAGACCTTGGATATTTTAAACTATGAATTCTGTTAGATCAAATAATTTGAGTTTGAAATATCAAAGGGTTACAACATCGGGTTTTAAAGATATGACTCAATTCCTTATGTTGAAACGGAATAAAATGGAAAAGTTGGATTCATCGTTTGGTTTAACATGGTTGCAGAACACTCATAAACTTTTTAAAGTATTGTAAAGTTTTACAACTGAACTTAAGTCTAAACAAGAATCATTGAGATATTAATGTTTTTCTCTTTTAAAACTGATTGTTTTCAAGCAAAAAACGAAGATATCTTCTACGAAATTGATAAGATAACTACAGTTCCTTTAAATCTGAAAATTAAAGACGAAGTTGTAATAAAGGGTTACCCACAAAGGATGAGATAGTAAAGACGACCTGAAGCGAATATATACCGAATATGAATACTGCCTTTTTTTAATGATTGTCTAAAGATAGTTAAATAAGTGGCATGGAATCATGAATATAAGGAAGCAGACAGTATAAATTACGTTGCAGTCGTCTCTGAAGTCTCATCCTTTGAGGGTAACCTTGTATAGTCCAGAAATGTGCCTTATTTGGGATAAACAACCTTCCTGTAGGTCATTGCAAGCCAACAATGACTCTATAAATTGTCTTTTAACATTATTTATAATTATTGGTCAAATTTTGTTCCAGGATTTGAATATAAAAGAGAAGGTGAGGGTTCAGGTGGAACTCTGTAAAGTAAACGGAGAAACAAGTGAGCCTCAGGTGGGATATTTAACTGTTAAAGGGAGTGACTGTCTAGGTAGTTGAACTGAATGCCTCCTGAAAAAGGAAGTGCCTGCCTAGTTTTGATAGTTTAACTGAATGCCCTCAGAATGATCCAGTCTCGAGATTTTTAAAACGCAAATATTCGGTCTTATGTACTAATCATAGGACGTAAAATCATTAGATAAGTATCAAATAAATCCTGATATATTTCTCTGCAATACTACTCTCCCAGTTCAATTACCATATTTAGCCAGTCACTCCCTTTAAAGGAGTTTTTTACGACCTAACGAAAATGATCAAATGCTGTTCGATTATCATAATTTCTGAAATAATATTGATTTGATAGAATCTTAGAAAAAAGATTATAAAAAGCTTTCAAATTATAAATGGCTTTCAAATTATAAATGGCTTTAAAATTATAAATGGATTTCAAAATTATAAATGGATTTTAAAATTATATATGGATTTCAAAATTATAAATGGATTTCAAAACTATAAATGGATTTCAAAACTATAAATGGCTTTAAAAATTTTAAATGGATTTCAAAACTATAAATGGATTTCAAAATGTCAAATGGATTTCAAAATTTTTTAATGGATTTCAAAATTTTAAATGGATTTTAAAATTATATATGGATTTCAAAACTATAAATGTATTTCGAAAATATATATGGCTTTCAAAATTTTAAATGGATTTTAAAATTATAAATGAATTTCAAAATTATAAATGAATTTCAAAATGTTAAATGGATTTTAAAATGATAAATGGATTTCAAAATTATAAATGGATTTCAAAATTATAAATGGATTTCAAAATTATAAATGGATTTCAAAATTATAAATGGATTTCAAATTAAAAATAGCTTTCAAAATTATCTAAATAAATTGTTTATTGGATTAAATTATTAGAACAAAATGAACTTTTCTCGTAAAGTTCTGAAAAGAAAATTTTATACCCATTGACACAAGGGTTCTCCACACTGAGAAATATATTGACATTTTTTGGGAACAAAAAATTTTTTTTCAGTGAATTATAGGACAATAGTAAATCTTTCAATTTAAGAGTGTCACAAAATATTTACAATTCAGAGGCTCAGTCTTGAGTCTAATTATGTCAGCCTCGACTTTGGCATTTAAAGTTAGGCCGAACTTGGCGAGTTTTGTTGAATTGGTTTTAAAATTAAACACAACTTTAATAAAAATTTAACCAGACATATCTTAAGAAAATATTTCATTTTGGCCATTGCTTTGTTTATCTGTTTGTCTTATTTTGTGTTTTTTAAAATTATTTTACCTTAAAGTATGCATTATATACATTATATTTAAGAATACGTTTTTTCTTTGATTTGCTTTAAAACGATTATTTCAGTTTTTTTTCATATTCTTGAAATTCAAATATTTTCTTTTTTTGTTTAGGATTTCTACTATCTCCCCACAAACCGAACTACTCCCAACGGTAATAAGCTAAGTATGGAAAGCAGATGTCAGTTTACGGAATAAAAGCAATCCAACAATTTTGAAATTTATTGTTTTAAGTCCAGGGACGTATGCAGGAATTTATCCAAGGTGGCTTAATTTTTTTCCTTCTCGGGGAGCTCAGCAGCCGGTGGACCCAGAAACCCCCTGAAAAACCATAGATTTTACAAACCCAAGTCCATAGCCCCCTCCCCCATCATGAATACGCCTTTATTTATGTTTAGTCTTAAACAAACGATAATATAGAGTTCTGATTAGTTATGGAAATGGGTTAAGATTTAAGATATAAAAAGTTTTAAAAAATCCAAAATACAAGAGCCTAACAAAAAGAACTAAGTCTAACTTTAAAATATGACTTGAATAAAGAGGCACCAATCAACTATACAACGAACATAAAAGTAAGCCAACAACAATGAAACAAACATAAAAGTAAGCCAACAACAATGAAACGAACATACAAGTAAGCCAACAACAATGAAACAAACATACAAGTAATCCAACAACAATGAAACAAATATACAAGTAAGCCAACAACAATGAAACGAACATACAAGTAAGCCAACAACAATGAAACAAATATAAAAATATCCAACAACTAAGAACAAACATACAAATAATCGAACAATAACAATTCTAATTAACAGACAAATATTGAAACAAAAATACTGACAAATAAGCAGACACTTGAAATGGTCAAACAATTTAATTTGACAAACCAACATGCAATCAATCGGGGCCAAAAACCAACAATCTATAAAGACAAACAACCAAACAATTAAACAATATATGTTTAGTTTCGTCCTATGGTGAGGAGATCTGCAAACAAGAAATTAAACTTGAAGATAATTCTCTTTATAAATCCCAGCGTATGCAGGTCAGATCAATTTAAAAGGAGTCTTCGCCAATTTTGAAAAGGGGACATGGAATATATGACATTGCAGATGCGTTGTAGAACACTTCTAGGAAATTCGATGACGGACAAACTATGAAAAAAAATGTAAAAGTCGGAATTTTTGTGTTGTGAATCTCTGGATCAAGCATTGACCTAGCTAGATTACACTAATTCCTCTTAAATTTCCCACAATTTAGTCATACTTTACAAGTGATAATTTTAATTTGATTTGATATGATGGATCAAGCACTGATTCTAAAAGTTAAAACTGCCCACATTGGAAATGGAGATGAAGCAATCCAGATTAAGTACACAAATGTTCCGACCTTGAGTTTATGAATTATTCAAGAGGTTTTCATTTAACCACTGAATTGAAACTATCTAAAAAATATATTTTTGAGAGACAAGCGAATATCATTTGTATATATAGTCCCTTATTGTTATTGTTATTGTCATTTTCATTGTCATTGTCATTATTGTTATTGTTACAGGGTGGCCAAAATGTACGTATTGTACGGATTGATCTTTTTTTAACCCTAAAATTGTACGGATTGTACGGATTGTACGGATTTGTTTTCAAATTGTACGGATTGTATTTGTCATTGTCATTGTCATTGTCATTGTCATTGTTATTGTCATTGTTATTGTTATTGTTATTGTTATTGTTATTGTTATTGTTATTGTTATTGTTATCGTTATCGTTATCGTTTTATGGTTATTGTTATTGTTATTGTTGCAAACCTAAAAATCTGAAATATGTTCTATAATATATATTTGTTGGCTAGATGATTCCTCGGTCCAATGTTGGTAAAAGTCCGTATACTCATATACAACTAGGACAACAGGGAGGGTTCGTGTTAGCGGAGGTAATTGTTTTAAAGGGACTGTACACGTTCGTCTAAAAGAAGTATTTCCGATTCGATTTGATACTCTTCAAGCTTTTGTCTAAACAATATATTTTTCTGTTTTCTATGAAAATTGATTATTTTTAATGAGATTTTTTTCATGATAAACTTTTCAAGAAAACGACAATATCTTCCTCATTGTTAGTCGGATTAAGATTTAAAGGGTATCGATCGTACTCGGACATGCCGGTCAGAAAAGTGAAGATCAATAAAATCTGGGCCTAGATTCCCTTTAAATCTTAATTAAGTACATTTGATTTCTTAAAACTGTCATTATTTATTTCTTTTATAATTAAAAGTTTTGCAAGGTGGGCTAGAAATATTTAAAGAAAGTTTCTAAAATGTTAAAAATTTGAATTTAAATATCCTTTACATTGTTTCAACTGATTCCTTAAAATTCTAGAATTTTTCCTTAAAATTCTAGAATTTTAATAAAAAGTTTGAATTTGATTGACAATGGTAAATGACTGGTCTTATTGAAGCAAAAATGGATATCAAAATTTTTTTTATTCCGTCTTAATTCAGAAACGGGATACTGGAGATGGTGGAGGAAGAGGCGTACTTGGAGGGGAAGGAGTGGTTGGAGGTAGAGGAGTAGTTGGAGGTGGAGGCGTGGTTGGAGTAGACCAAAGCTCAGATTTTTCCCTCTCAAATGTACAACCTTTCAATCTCATCCAAATAATCTCCAGACTATAATGATAATTTATATCCAGCTTAAATACTTATGCCTTATCAAAAAGTTGTGTTTTTTGTTTAAGAATTGGAATAATAATAATAATAATAACCATCAGTCAATCATAATTTCAATCAACAACCTGCTAGACTACCCTGACCTGCTTTTTTTAAATTAACAACCTGCTTAACTACCCTGACAGTGACATGCTCTATTTAGTTAAGTAACTTGCTAAACTACCCTGACATGCTGGGTATGCAGACCAACATGCACAGATTGCAGAATGCAGGAAAATCTCAAAAATAAAAAGAATATTCTCCATTTCATTCATGAATTGCTGATTGCAAATAAAAAAATATTTGTAAAATTTTGAGATGCCTGGGTTTTCAGGCAGTCCTATTGATATTCCTTCTAGTCTGGGCAGTCCCAACTATGCATACCAAGATCAAAACTATCAGGTCAGATTACAACTTAAAGGGACTGTACGCGCAATTTCAAGAGACCTATCATGCAAAGATGACAATGCCAGATTTACAACGGTATCCTTGAAAGGTTTGGTTGATCAAGTATGAATTAGATATCAATGTTTATAATTTTGAAAACTGATATGGAATGGATGGAATGGATATGGAATATGGAATGTACGTGGATTTTCTAAAAAAAGTGACATATAATTACCCACTTTTAAACCTAAAATAACTTACACAGTTTGTATCTGATAAAGCTTGAAAGGACCCGTTGTTAATCTATGCATGGAAGGTTACTTAAAATTACACTTACATCAGCATTTAAATACATTAGAACCTGCCATATACTGATTAAATATTTCAAAGGTTTAGAAATAAATTATGAAACTGTAAGGTTTAGGTTTGTTTAAGGTTTGCAAGTTTTCAAGAAGATAAACTTTAACAAAAAAAGATCAGAATCTAGACTTAAATAAAAGATTAAAAAGCCCCCTTTAATAAATATGTTTTAAAACAATTTTATTTAAATATTGTCATCGAAGATCAAATTTGAATTCTATGTAGTCGAAGAAATTGAAATTTTGCTTGATTTACTGTATATATTAAAATGTATGTTTATGTACTCTTTGAACAGAATGTAAGTACTGCAATGTATTAATATGTATGTTTATGTACTCTTTGTACAGAATGTGAGTACTGCAATGTATTAATATGTATGTTTATGTATTCTTTGTACAGAATGTGAGCACTGCAATGTATTAATATGTATGTTTATGTACTCTTTGAACAGAATGTGAGTACTGCAATGTATTAATATGTATGTTTATGTACTCTTTTTACAGAATGTGAGTACTGCAATGTACCAAGATCAGGGAAACCTTAATGTTGGATTAACCCCAGGTATGTGCTCTTATAATTTTTAGCTGTACAATTGTATAATATACCCACAAAGAACGAGATTTTAGAGACGATTGTACAGAATGATTCACCGCAAATGTAAACTTTTTTCTTTTTTACCTATTAATGAATAGAAGACTTATTTTAACCTCGGAATTGTCAAATTCAAAGTGTTTCTAGTCGTCCTAAATGTCTCGTCCTTTATAGGTAACCCCGTGTATAACAAAATATATTTGACGCTTAGCGCCCGTTCTATATTAAGAATTTCAGCTTTTAACACACACTAATAACTGTACAGGAGGGATGGTAATTAACGCTCAGGGCACTAATTACTCCATTGGAGGGATGGTAATTAACACTTTGGATACAAATAATTCCTCCGTCTTCCCCAAATCCAGTCCCACAACGTATCACATCAGTTCAGTTCTAATTGATACCACGGTAAACTGCCAGGAGACCAATCTGAAAACAGCTCTGCTATGGCTGCTCTCCTTCCGATTATAATTAATAGAAATCATATAAATATGTAATTTTTATACACAACCTGTCATATTTTCAACGGAAAAATAAATTATTAGATTAGATTAGATTAGAATTATGTGGAGTAATTAGTGTTCTTAGTGTTAATTACCATCCCTACGATGGAATAATTAGTGTCCTGAGTGTTAATTATCATCCCTTCGATGAAGTAATTAGTGTCCTGGTTGTGTAATTTACCATCCCTCGGATGGAGTAATACGCATTGAATAAATAAAAAACATTCTCTCCGGTGGAAAAAATTTCCCTCAGGTGGCCTCCGCTCCAGCGGAGGGGTTCCAATATGCTGCTGCAAACTTCAAAGTGTATTTTTGCCATTTTTCTTTAAATATATTTTTTAGATCTTGGAGATTATTATCAGCTGAATGAGATGACGGAAACTGTGAACAATCTTTCAGAGACTTTAACGCAGAATATGAATATTCAACAACCTGTTCAACAACCTGTTCAGCAACCTGTTCAACAACAACAACAACATCCAGACCGGGTAAAACATCTTTTCTTTCTGTTTCATAGATTAATCCCCCCTCAGCTCCCTTAATAATTAAAGATCATCTTTTATTGGATAAAGTAAAAGCAAATCTGAAGTTTTCTATTATTATATTTTTGTTACTTTTATCAGTCTGATTTGTTTTCAGAGTGCGGGTAAAAGATCACAGAAGGATGCTAACTTAGAATCTGGTTCCCTTCAGCTTCCCTATCAGCAGGCAGGGGTCAAATAGTAAAGCGCCATCTTGAAATTAATGGAATTTAAAAAACAGCTGGAAAAAAGTTCGAATGGGTTTTCTCAAAATATTTCCGCTAAAGCTGGACCAAAGGCAATTAAAACCTTCTGCAATAGTTCAATAGTCTTTATTAAAGACACATCATTTATTACACACATTTTTGTATAATTTTAATAAAAATAGTTTAAATGTTTGACCATCTTAACAGGCCAAGACAGACGAGAGTAAACCTAACTTGTCCCGGCAGCAATCCTCCTTAAACACTCCGACCGTTAGCGAGCAGTTGACCTCGAGTTCCTCGATCAATATCCACGCTATGAACCTGGCGGGGGGATCCTTAAACAGCTTCTAAATCTCTTTCTCTCGTAAACTATTTTTGATTTCACAAAGATAGAACAAAATATAGTAGAAATGTATTTTTTCTCCTCAAAATGTGAACTGTGTTCTAAATATAGGATTTGGGGGACGACTACAAAACGCTCCCAGTTACTACAGTGAGAATCAGAAAATTATGAAATAGGACGACGAAATTATAGCAATACTTAAGTGTACATATTTGATGTTGTTACGAAGCAAATAGCTTTATAAAAGTATCTTTTACAATCTTGGTCTGTTTGCACAATTGGTGTGTCTAATGTTCGTTTGACAATTTAAAGCCATAATTAACGTCTAAAAGTCGTCTTCTTATTCCAAAGTATTCTGGTTCTCACTGTAGTGTAGGCTACAGTAAGGCCCATATAACTAAAAAACAGGAAGATGACATGTTTGTTGTTGATTTTGTTTTGAAATTGTTTTACAATTAGATTAAAATCAAGTTATAAAGTGAAATAGGTCTGTGGTAGCTGCACAATTTCTGTGTTTCATGTTCATTGGTTTTTTAAACCCACATACTATTTATTCCACAGTTTCAGGAGTCCAGCTAATAATAGAAAAGTTTTAAATGTTTGTACAATCAGTGGTTTTTTATAACTGGATATTTGCATTTTCCTTTTTATAGACTATCATGTAAGCATTATGATGAAACTTGTACAAAATGTAATTTTTTATTAAGATATTGTTTTAAATATTATAAGATTTTATTTATAGTTGCTAACTACTTATATGAACTCGGGTTAAAGTGCCTTTTTAAAATATTTTTTTTAATATTTTAAATTCCCATAATTTTCAAGTAAAAGTTATTTAGTTTTTTTTTAATGCAAAGTTAGTTTGGATCGTTCTTGTTCAAAACATAAATGAACTATTTAATATAAAAGTCAAGAAAGGCTTATTTAAATATTCTAATGCTGGCAAATTGTTATAAATTATCGAAGCTAACGAAAAGTAAAATAAAGAATTGCATTTCCAATGGTTGAAGGCGGAAGAGTTAACCAGCGGTTGAAACAAAAATGTATTATAAAATAATTGTGTTACCTTTCATCGAAGAAAAAAATTTGCAATAAAAAATCTATTTTTATCAAAACTAACTGCTAGTCAAAGTCAAAGCTATGTCTCCTCCACTACCGCTGGATTTTTTTCTCCATGGAATATTTCATTGCAAAGTTCGACTTTACCAATGAGGCCAGAGGCGTATTCAGGGGGGGCTATGGGGGCTAAGTCCCCCCCCTGGACCAGTGAAATCTATTGATTTCAAGGGGTTTTCAGCCCCCCCCCCTGGAAAGAGAAAAAAAAATTAAGCTCCCCCCCTGGACAAATTCCTGAATACGCCTCTGAATGAGGCCATGGCCCATGGAAGGTTATGGCCGGTTGAAATACAAATTTAGCAGCTAAATAAGTTCAATTTATTTTTATTTTTTATCTATCTTTGAAATCTTAAATAATGTCAGCGTAATTTTAAATGACCTTCCATTTAACCCTTAAAGGTTTTATGGGGGGGGGGTCTGATTCTATGAATTAGACTGGGGCGTCTCCCCCCCTTTCCCTAGAAAAGGTCTAATAGTAAAGGTATTGAGTTGCAATAAATGTTCTTAATCCAATTTTTTAAGGCAAGCTCCTTAAAAAAAGTAAGTAAGTTAACTTTAATAGTTCGGGTGCAAGGGATTTATGATAAAATGTCTTTAGAAGGTAAAATGTAATAAACAATTTTTTTCCTTTTTTAATGTGTGAAAAATATTTTTCTTGTTTCATATATATTTTTAAGGGCTTTTCAAAAGTTAAAAAAAAGTTTGGGCTATTTCACGAAATTACGGACAGTTATTTTTACCTTTCTGTAATCTGTACCCTACCCTATGCATTAAAATAATGCAAAAGTCCTTGAAATTACTATTCCTTAAAAGTCGAAAAAAAAATTCAAATCGATACCTTTAGAAATAAAAGTGTTAGGGAAATAAAAAGTCTAAAACCTTTATCTGATCAAGGATGACAGACTTTCCCTTGTTAATCTACGAAACGCGCTTGTAATTGTTGAACACTCAAATTCAACTATAACATTTTTCAATATAAACTCGGATTCTTTTAATTTTCTTTAAAAAATGCCTAGATTTTTTAAAGATTTGAACCCCTTTTTTTAGAATGCCGCCAAATATTTTTAATTTGCACCTAAATTAAATTTTTTTATCCCCAAATGTTCATTAATTACAACCAACTTTAAAATTTATAGCCCTATCTAAAAAATGCCCCTTATTTTATTTAGAAAATGCTCAAAAAATTAATAAGGTTTGGCCCCGACAAAAAAATAACCCTTAGTTTATAAAAATGCCCCTTTATACATTTTAAAATGCCCTTAAATTAAAAAATTTGCCCCAAATACAAAGGTTTAAGATTACGGAAACGAAATGTGTAACTAAACACAGCACAATTCTCCAGCTGTAATACTTAGAGGCAGTAAGGCAACTGACTACTGACTATACGGACTCTGGAGTTTACATATAGAAGTAGAACTGGAGTTAACAGATGTTACGTAGGATAGAACTAGATTTTACAGAAATATAAAGGAGGAGATCTTAAGTCTACAGATTGAAAGTAGAAGAACTGGATCGAGTGTACAGATAGAAAGTAGAAGAACTGGAGTTTACAGATAGAAAGTAGAAGAACTGGAGTTTACAAATAGAAAGTAGAAGAACTGGAAGTGTACAAATAGAAAGTAGAAGAACTGGAGTTTACAAATAGAAAGTAGGAGAACTGGGTCTTACATAATGTAATACATATAGAGTATGAGAACTGGAGTTTACTGATAGTTAGTAGAACTGGAGTCAACAGATGTTAAGTAGGATAGAACTAGATTTTACAGAAATATAAAGGAGGAGAACTTAAGTCTACAGATAGAAAGTAGAAGAACTGGATCGAGTGTACAGATAGAAAGTAGATCAGAACTGGAGTTTACAAATAGAAAGTAGAAGAACTGGATCGAGTGTACAGATAGAAAGTAGATCAGAACTGGAGTTTACAAATAGAATGTAGAAGAACTGGAGTGTACAGATAGAAAGTAGATCAGAACTGGAGTTTACAAATAGAAAGTAGAAGAACTGGAGT